GCAAACGGAAGGAGAGAATTTCTACAATGAAAATTTCCTCTGATCATCAAACTCTGGGTTTATAAAGAGTTGATTTATTTACACATCAGGACTGTCTCTAGCTAAGATGGATTAAGCAGTAGCCTGCATTGTTGATTTTAGGAAGTTCAGAAATACTTCTGAACAAAAATGTGCATCTCACTGTCCATTGCTGAAATGTATCATTAGCTTTTCATTCCTTTTATTAATTACCATTCTCTCTGTCTTTTAAAAATACTACTGAAAAGATAGTATACACATATGGTTATTAACAAGTGAGTATAGACTCTTCTTTACTATTTTATTGTTACAACAGCTTTGTTGAGATGTAATTCAAATACTAAAACATTTACTCTTTAAAGTATGCAATTTAGTTATTTTTAGTACAAATGTGCAACCATCAATCACCATTATTTAATTTTAAAACATTTTAATTACCCCCAAAAAGAAGCTCTGTACCATACCCATTAGCAGTCACTCTCCATTTTCCCTTCTTTCTAGCTCCTGTCAAACACTAACCTACTTTCTATGTCCATGGGATTTTCTTATCCTAAACATTTTCTAGAAATAGAATCACAATATATGGCCTTTTTTGGACTGGCTTTTTAAAATTTAATGTGTTTTCAAGTTTTATCCTTATTGTAGCATGTATCAGTACTGCCTTCTCCTTGCCAAATAATATCCGATGGAATGGATATAGTACATCTTATTTATCCACCCATCAGTTGACGGTCACTTTGTGGTGTTTCCACTTTTTGGCTAAATAATGAATAATGCTGTTGTGAACATTCACTACAAATTTTTGTGTGGACACATGTTTTTAATACTGCTGGGTGTATACCTAGCTGGGTCATATGGCAATACTAGGTTTACATTTTGAGGAACTGTAAGACTGTTTTCCAAAGAAGCTGTACCATTTTACATTTCCAGCAACAATGTATGAAGGTTCCAATTTGTCCACATTGTCACCAGCACTTCTCATTGTCTCTTTTTTTTGTTTTAGCCATACTAGTGAGTGTGAAATTGCATCTTATTGTGATTTTGATTTGCATTTCCCTAATGACTAATGATGTTGAGCATCTTTTCATATGCTATTGGCCATTTGCATTTCTTTTTAGAGAAACGTCTATTCAAATCTGTTGCCCACTTTTTAATTAGATTGTTTGTCTTCTTATTGTTGAGTTGTCTGAGTTGTAGGATTTCTTTGTATGTTATGGATTATGGATATGATGACAAGTCCCTTGCCAGATAGATATGATTTGCATACATTATCTCCATTGTGTTGTCTTTTCACTTACTTGATTGAAACACAAAAGTTTTTAATTTCGATGAAGTGCAGCTTATTTTTTTCCTTTGGTTCTTTGTGCTTTTGATGTCATATCTAAAAAACCATTGCCTAATTTAGCTCATGAAGATGTACTCCTAAGTTTTCTTCCAAGATTTTCTTTTAAGTTTTATCTCTTACATTAGGTCTGTGATTCATTTTGAGTTAATTTTTGTACATGGTCTGAGGTAGGGGTCCAGCTTTATTCTTTGGCATGTGGATATCCAGTTGTCCAAGGATCATTTGTTAAAAAGACCATTGTTTCCTCCATTGAATAGTGTTGGCACTCTTGTTGAAAATCAACTGATCATAAATATAAGGGTCTATTTCTAGATTCTTAATTTTATTTTATTGATCCGTATGTATAGTCTTGTGCCAGTATCTCTCTGTCTTAATTATTCTAGCTTTGTAGTAGGTTTTGAAATAGGGACGTGTGAGTCATCTACCTTTGTTCTTTCTTTTCAAGATTGTTTTAGCTATTCTGTGTCCCTTAACTTTCCATATAAATTTTAGAAGCATATCGTCAATTTCTGCAAATAAGCCAGCTTGAATTTTGATAGAAATTTTGCATAAATGTAGATCAGTTTAGGGAATATTGCTATCTGCACAGTGTTCACACTTGTATCGTACAGCCCTGCTGAACTTGTTTCTTACTTCTCATAATTTTATAGTAAATTCCTTAGGATTTTCTATATACAATATTATGTCATGTGCAAATAGAGAATTCTATATCTGGCAATATTATTCTCAAAAATGAAGAAGAAATTAAGACATTCCAAGATGAACAAAAACTGAGCAAATTTATCATCTGAACAAACTAGCCAGTAAATTTAGGCAAGATAAAGAAATAAATTTCCTTAAATTCCTTGAACTCCTTGGTCTCCCAGCCTACATACAAGGGTCCCTACATATTTGTTGGGGGCACACCTTCAATGCTGAGGAATTTTGTAACACTGTCTTTCTTCTCACTTCCTGTTTGTGCAGTCTCAAGGCCAGCCAGAGATGAGTTCTAATGCCCTTCTTGGGTCTTTTCTGGGCATACATATAGTCCTGAACATGTGTGTGGCCTTCCTGACTCCCAGGAGTACATCAGAGTTTTTTGAAACCCCTTATGCACATCTTACTTCACAGATTTTTCTAAGTTTTTGGTTACGTTCTTGTTTACTTCACTGGCATTGCAGCTTTGCCAGCTGGGATATTAAACACTTGCCACTGATTTTTTTTCAACAAATACCCCGAGGACAGGGATGGTTACACTAAGTGAACTCTGAATCAGGTCTAACAAAGACAAGTACTGTGAGTGGAGCTTTTCTAGAGAGCTCCCAGACGAGTCAGAGAGTGGCAGCTCTTTGAGGATGCGGCATTTTGAGGAGCCCCAAATCCATACTGCCCCCTATAGTGGTTGCCAGGCTGCTGGATTTCACAGCTCCAATGTTTCAAGGCTGTTGTTTTTCAAGGCTACCATGGAGCTAGGGAGAGGTGCTGGGAATGTTCAAGTTAAAATACCACAAAGCGCATGGTTCCTACTGAGTTTAGCTGTTTGTCTTACATAAACACTTCATGGATTGGTGTGAGTCTTTGAATAATTTCCAGAGTTCTGAAAAAGTTGATTTTGACAACTTTTGCCACTGGTATTATTGTTCTTGTGGAGTAATGGATTTTCAAGGATCATTACACCACTATTTCTCTTTCTTTATTTTTAACTAGTATTTTTCCTTAGGACAGATGAGACCAGAAGTACATGAAAAGGCCTAGTGTCCACTGAAGAGTGGTTACAAGATTGAGTTGGAATGGAGGCTCTACAGAAGGGACTGGAGACAAATTTTGCCTAATTACATTTCCTTATTTAATGTTTAATTGTAGCAATGTAATAAATAAATAGCCATGGGAGTATACATAGGTCGAGCCTTACCCTTTTTATTTTACAGTGTTCTATGAAGCTATGCCATCTGGTTTTCCATCCCACAGTAGATGGGAATGGGGGGGCACATATTAGAGACAGACATACTAGGACAACTGGCAGTGAGAAAGAAGATTTTAGCATAAAAAAGTAGACATAACAATTAGCAGATGCCAACGTAGTGTACTACCTACTCACTTTTCATAATCTATATCAAAATGAAAATGTTAATTTGTGCTCTGTATTTTTTGTTTTTCAAGACAGATAATGCCTAGTATATTTTACATCTATTCTTTCTATCAAAAATCAATAAAATGTTTAAGGTTAGATATTTAAAATTTTAGACTTCATATACCTAGAGCATTTATGGCCAAGAAATAGATATCCAAATGATATTGCTAATGGGACATCGATATTTCATTGGTAACAAATTCTGTTGAGGAAAAAGATTCTTTAATTATATATCTAAATTCGTCATAGTTCCAACATCTTAAAAGTTGAGAATTTCAACAGTATATTGTCTCCATGTAAAAACACATGAAGAAGAATGATTACACTCCTCAAAAGTAGAACATTGAATCACACAGTTATAATACTTTCTTGTGCATTCCCTTTACTAAGTCCATTACATTTGTAAGCACCAATAACACTTTCTACCTACACAGCAAAAGATGCATTGACTTGTTGCTGAATATATTGTTAGTTTAATAGTTGCATAAAGTACTCAGGACTTAAATGACCACTTCAGAATAATCTCCAGTCAAACCTGTGTGTTTTAAGAGGCCCTTATAGTGATAGATCACTCAATACACAGGCATGAAAGCATATGAAACATAGAACTATAGATAGGACGTTGACAGAAGTAATAGGGCAGGAATTCTAATGTGAACAGTGAGGGGTGAACTCAGAGGAGCCATCTATCAAAAAATCCACCCACAACATGGGGACCAATAGCTGATGTCATCATAGCTGGTTTAATGGAAACATCTCAGAGATCAATGAGCCACTTGTATCAAAAAACGAACATAAAGCTACAAAAGTTTACTGTTCCATGTAGCGTAGATTAAAGACACAGTTTTGAAAGTCTACATCATTTCGTGCATATTTTTAAAAGCTTGTATTATAGGTGGTGCTCTTCAAAGGCTGAGAAGATCCAGCCTTTGGGTTCTTAAGACCACCATCAAATCAAGGGCCACTCTGCAGGGCTGAAGAATATATACGGACTAGCATCTTCTACCAAAAAGTCATTCCAAGAAAAGAGAGGAGGGGAATTCCTAGAGGATTTTCAGCTGGTGCTTAGTATTAAGTAGGGAATTACATTACAAGGTACATGGTGGCAAACAGAGTGTGTTCCTCCTGCTCTAGGAAGTGACTACTATTGTGAGTGTTTATACCATGTGAGGTACCAGGTGTCAGGTTGACAGTTTGCCAAATTACAGGTATTATTTCCCCAGAACTCTTTTTCAATATATTCTTTGATTCAGGTCCAGTGTTTACTAAAAGACGAAGCATATAATTAAGATGGCTGAACTCCATTTGCGTTACACGTCCTTTCTTAGAGAACAGGTTTGATGTGCTGCTGTTCCTAGATAAAAATGTAAATTCTAGCTAGATATTCACATATATAAATTTTAATAGATATTTCTATAAAGTGTTTTTAATAGTGTTCAATAAGATTGTTATTAGAATACAAGCCATTTAATTCATATGCAGTTAGCCATGTTGATGTATTAAAAGTGTGTCATTTCTTTATTGCAGTGTCCTGGAAGGTTACAATGGTACTATCTTCGCGTATGGGCAAACAGGCAGCGGGAAGACATTCACTATCACAGGGGGTGCAGAACGTTACAGTGACAGAGGCATTATCCCAAGGACACTGTCATACATTTTTGAACAGTTACAAAAGGTATGAAACTTTTTGTTCCTGTCATTTTGTATTTGATATATTCAGCAAAAATTTACTGAAAGCAGGAAATTTATTATGACATTTATTTTATTGTGTCTAAATGATAAAGTCTTATTGTGTCATAACTCTGGCCTTTACCTTTAAGGAAAGGTTGGGATTTTGCTGTAGAAGTGAAAATTAAGAAGGTGCTTCTCATTAAAGTGCTGCTATTTCAGCAAAGGCTCCAGGAGAGTTCCTTCTGATACACACATGAAGGTTGAAAGAGCAGACCATACCTTTTACCAACGAATATCTTACATTCCTCAAGAAACAGGAATGTTTTCCTGGGAAAGCAGACCTTTCTTTTAGCTACTGAAACACTAAACAGGACAGTATGATTGTTACTATTTTACACTTGATAGAAGCCCAGAGGAATTTACCAGAGTACAAATACCATTGTAATTATTATCATTGTAAAAAAGAGTTATCTATCTAGATTATATGTATCATTTATTGAGTGCCTCAAAATGCCAGTAGCTTTATCACTTTTACCAGTATTTAATATAACATATAATGCAACTTCCCATTTCATCGTTGGGAAAACTGAACCTCAAGTTAAATATTTTCCTCTGGGCCCACATCCTATAAGTAGCTGATCTGGAGTTCTATCCCAAGTCCACCTGATGCCTGACTCTGTGCTTTGTGCCATCATGTGTATTGCTCCTATACCTTGGACTGGCTTTATTTTGTTTGTTGTGTTCAAACAAATTCCCTCTAATGAGTCACATACCTTCTCTGAGTTTCAGTTTTCCCTTCTGTGAAAGTAGAGATTGAACTGTATTAGAGAATCTCCAGTGTCCCTACTAGTTCCAGCAATTCCTTGTTTGTATTACTTCTGTATAATAAATGTCTTAACTAGGTCAATGTAACAGTCACTCCAAAATTTCTTGACTGTATATTGTTTGTATTTTGAGTTGCAAAGATGAGAAGAAATTGCTGAGATCTGCATAATTCTAATTGCCATCCATAAAGTAGCAATTATCCATTAGTTCAGCTCATCTTTCTCTAGCTCAAACATGCCAGCTTTGCATGCCAGAAAATTTGGATGAGAAAGGATTGAGTGTAGCATATATGTTGGATCCAAAGCCCTTTTTTCATTTACTCACTTATTTCTGACATTGCCTGTTTTGTTCCCACATTTCACAACCTGGGAATATAATTCCTAATCGTTTTCATTGCTGTGGCCTAATGTGGAATCTTTCTGCCTTAGAAAGATCACTGGAGGTGCAGATCAACCTGGTTCTGAGAAAGTGTACTGCTTACAGCATGTGGCCTTGGGACAGTTAGTTAATGCCTCAGTCTTATGGAGTTGCTCTGAGGGGCTGAACATACTGTGTTTAAAGATATTGTCCAGTTTCTTGCACACAGTATATGCTCAATGCATGATAGTTATTATCACAGCCAGTAATATCCATATATGGATATTAATGTGGCCAAGTGATCCCTGACCAATTTCAGAGAACCCTTGAAACTCTCAAAAAAAATGAAGCCAAATCCCATAATTAAGTTAAATAGAATAAACTCATCCTCTCCCGAAGGAAAATATTTTTGTCCCTTTAAAATTGTTATCTATGGTTATTAAAGTACAGATCCAAATGTCTAAATGTCTCCTTAGTACTTACCATTTGTCAGGTTCGTTGTTTTAGATCTGTTTGTCATTGACATTACTGTAAACTCCATTTCATTCTGAATGATCCTATATATCTTCCTGGACTTGTAGTGAGCCCATTGGAGCCATTTAAAGCCAGGGCAACTCTGTTTAAATGGACATATTTTCATGATGGGGCATAACACATTCATTATAATCAAACAGCTATGGTGAAACTGGTCAAGCAACTTGAAGTGCATCATGAAGTCTGTTCATATTGTATAGCTGGAAAATGCAGCCTGGTACTCAGAGGTCCTCAGCTGATTGCCTTAGAGAGGTACATGGAGCGCTCTAGAATTCTTAAAGGAAACATTTGACCTATGCAAAGTCTTCATTTCAAGATACAGTAAGAGCCCAGTGCATATTGGGTCCTGAAATGTGTATGGGTATGATAGGAGCACATTTTCACTGATTTTAAGAGAAGAAAATTGATGCCATTTATTTTAGAAATCACTGCTCATTATTTTTGAGTATTGTGAGGTTCAAACTTGTTTTGGGGCAGGAGAAAAGGCTGTCTGCAGGAAACATGTGTGTTACATTACAGTCTGGCAATCCTTAACACTAAAAAGGAGTAATAAGGAAAGGTAGCTTGCCACATAGCTCAGTGAATTTTAAGTGTATTTTCCAATAAAAGTCCAGAAAATGCAGAAGCTGGAAGAGCCAAAGACATTATCCCTATCATCTCAGGGCAGTGGACCTGCCATTTTCCTGACATTTTGTGATTTATTCTAATTTCTGGAAGAAGAGATTTTCTCCACTGCAGATAAACATACAAGTTGGCTGTTCTTTTTGCTTTTATTTTCCTTTCCTTTTATATTCATATACTGAATTCTCCATTTGAAGGCTTCTAGAAATAATAATAACTACAGCAATAATAATAGCAACAGGAGCAACAATGATTCATTGGTATCTGTTGTGGGCCATACACTTTTGTAAGATTTTAAATATAGAATGTTTTTCCTCTGTTACAACAGAATGCAAGATCAGGGCTATTATCCCCATTTTTATGGTGAAACAACTGAGGATAAGGGTGTGGGATTATTCTGTTATAAATGGAGTTCCAATATGCAAACTCAGTTCTTATCTGATGCTAAGAAGAACTCAGAAATGTATACTAAACTCTCAAATCATAATCTCTGGTTTATTTCAGATATTTTGGATAAATTTTAAAAATATGTTGGTTTTAACAGGATCTCAGAATGTTGCTGAAATACCCCCTAGGGCCTTTGACGAGCTCCAGAGAGGGACAGAGTTTGTGTATATATTGACCATGGAATACTGTTTTCCCGGAGTATTCCATGGAATATTTTAGAAACTTTGGATTAGACTAACAGCCACACAAAATCTTTTTTGTGTTTATAGTGTCTGATACCTGTGCTAAGCCAAGTTATAACCCAAAGAATTATATTGAAATAGTAGCTTTACTAAACTAGGATACTAATGTAATCAATGGGCCATTTGTTGGGATAAGCTTTAGAGTCACCCACATCAGAAGAATTTTCAGTATTAGGCTGAAAAAAAAATTGCTTAGTAATCCAGTCCATGTTGTCACCTTCACAGAACACCAGAATATAGAATTTCAGCTGTGGCTTGAGTGTTTTTATTATAGTCATGGAAGGCTGAGAGTTGCTTTACTTGTTCATGTATCATTTTGTTTTTCTGAAATGACAGTATCTTTTTTTTTTTTTTTTTTTGAGACGGAGTCTTGCACTGTCACCCAGGCTGGAGTGCAGTGGCGCAATCTTGGCTCACTGCAAGCTCTGCCTCCAGGGTTCACACCATTCTGCTGGTGTGACTACAGGCACCTGCCACCATGCCTGGCTAATTTTTTGTATTTTTAGTAGAGACGGGGTTTCACTGTGTTAGCCAGGATGGTCTCAATCTCCTGACCTTGTGATCTGCCCACCTCGGCCTCCCAAAGTGCTAGGATGACAGTATCTTTATTTGGATAATTGGAGCCATTTTAGAACCAAAGAATCATTCATTTTACACTGAAGAACACACAGCGATTTATTAGCCAATTTCCTCACTTTAATGGGTTTGAAAACTAAGGCCTGACATGGTAGAGGCTCACCTCTAGTTAGAGTAGGAGTCCAGCTTTTTATTTATAGGCCACTGTTCTCTCTCCTATCTCTGTGACTTGGTCCTTTCTCCCTTTGAACAAACCCTATTAAATGGATTGCCTTGGATATGGGTGAGAATCAATCAGGAAGGTCATCCTAAGCAAATTCTCCGTTAGTATACACTCTGACACCCTGACAACCTGCTTGCCACAAGATACAAATATACTCTCCCCTTATGAGAAGCATGATAATATTTGCAGAAATTGAAGCATTTGTATTTTTGGAGGAACAAAAAGAAGGTGCTATTGTTTGATATTTTGTATTGAAAACTGAACTTCCTCAAGAGTTGAAAAAATTCCTTACTTCATTCCACCTCAAAGGGATTGGGTCATTTTGTCTATTGGCAGAATTGAGACTAGGACCAGGCACCTTGACTTTTAGCCTCATTACATTGATGCCTATGTCATTGCATTTTAGCAATGGCCCACCAAAAATATTTCTCTCTAACTAATAGCTAAATACCCCTGATTTGCCCTCTTGGGCCAGGAAAATTAACTCCACATGTGAGGTATTGGCGGTGAACTATTAATGTCCACTTATACCTGACTAATCAACTATTGTCTGTCCTCTGGAACTCACTTTCATTGTTATCTATTTATGTCATCAGAAAATATTGAATATTAGAAAAGTAGAAAAAGAATTATGATTAAAGATGGAAACTATTTTGCTCCTGAAATTTTTAAGCCAAAGTAATGGTCTGTGTTCTTTTTTATGAATAGACTATTCACAGAATATAAGTTTATTTTTTTTAGTAACCTTTTTTTTGTTCTGGAAAGTAAAAAATGGTGTGTTACACAGTTCTGCAACCAAGTTGGCTCATTGTAAGTGTATATTGACTTTTTATGTATAATGTGGAACCAATAAAAAATAACAGACTGAAGTTGCTTGTAATCATGGGTGTTGGCCATTTAAAAAAGCTTCATGCATATGGTAACTGGCAACTTGAAAGTGTCATGAACTGAAAATGTAAACCATATAAAGTGAGAGAAAAAGAGAGAAACTGTAAGGAAACTGAGTGCTAAATGTGTTCATCTAAGCAGAATCATTATTTATAATCAATAAATAATACCTTTCCCTTTTCCAATCAGGACAGCAGCAAAATGTATACAACGCACATTTCCTATTTGGAAATCTACAACGAATGTGGTTATGATCTTTTGGATCCAAGACATGAAGCCTCCAGTTTGGAAGATTTGCCGTGAGTAGCAGAACAACAAAGAATGGAGGGAAATTACTTTCAGATGTTCTCTTCAATTGTTTTCTTTGAAATTTTGTATGTTTCTGGTCTCAATCATAATTAGCAAATACTGGATAACCGAATTTTTTTGTAATATAATGGATATTTTTTTCAGTTATGACAAATGGACAGTAGTGATGGGAACTAAAATTGCCTGAAACTCATTTCTTGGGAAAATCTCTTTTGGAGTTGGCAGAAGAGAGTGCAATGAATTTTCTCTAAGACTGGGTGCTTAGAGGATTGATGGGAGATGACAGTACTACTTTCTTCCTGCCACATGAAACCCTGTTGCTCCTCTAATTGTGGCCTTTTTCTGAGAAGAAGGTATTCAAATTAGAGTTCAAGCAGCAGTAAGAGAATCTGAGACAGAAAATAACATTTTTACGTTTTCCTCAAATGCTTCTCTACTATGGTTAATGCTAACTTTGGCAATCATTTGATCAGATTGGCACTGATTGTTTCATGACTGAAATTTAAATAGCGTCTTCAAAGTTTATCTAATAACGGACCAAGTTACCCTGCCAGCATTTATATAACATTGCTCAATGCTTGTTTGAATATCTGCCTATATTAGACATATATTAATTGGTAACTGTTCATATACTTTTGTTCAGACATCTTCGTATATCAGAAGTAGCCTACAGCCAAGAAAATGTATTTTTATATTCTTATTAAAAACTCTAGTTTAGAAATACATATTCATTCTCTACCAAAAAGATTAACAATCAGTTGATTATTATAATTTGCAAAGAAATTAAGAAGACATAATAAGGAAAATAAGTTATACTGTTTATACCACTTTTATATGTATTCTTCCTTTAATGTTGGTTGAGAATTTTTGCATATCATCTCTCTTATGCTTCAAATATTTATGAGAGGGACTTAAGAAATGGTACTGTTAGTTATACTCTAAATATTTGTATAAGAATTAAGAGAAAGGAAAGATTACTGAATCCATACAAGAAAATGGGCTTAATAGAACTATTAGCAGTAAGTTTACAAAAAAAGTAAAACTCTCCACCTAGGAAGAATAGGAACAACATTAAAGACATGAAGGTGTGGTTGGAAAGTAAGCATATTGAGGAGTGCTATGGTCTAAATGTTTGTTACTCTTGCCACCCCAAAACTCATATGTTGAAACCTAATCACCATGAAGATGGTATTAGGAAGCGTGGCCTTTGAGGAGGTGATTAGGTCAAGAAGGTAGAGCCCTCATGAATAGAATTAGTTTCCTTGTAAAATATGCACATGAGACTTGTTTCATTCCTTCTACCATACTGAGGACACCAGCAAGAAGTCAGAAGTCTGTAACCTGAAAGAGGGTCCTCACCAGAACCTGACCATACTGGCACCTTGATCTCGTACTTGCCAGCCTTCAGAACAGTGAGGAATAAATTTGTGTTGTTTATAAAGCCACCCAATTTATGGTATTTTGTTATAGCCTGAATGGACTAGGACAAAGAGTCGTTGGAAATAAAAGCAGAAGGGCCAACTGAAGCCTATTTTTGGAGAGACTTGAATGACAGGCTTTTAGTGTGAGATTGAGCTTTATTCCAAAAAGTGTCTTAGTTTTCTAGCCTCTAGTCTAACCAGCATACCTCCAGGCTAAATCTTGCTTCAAATTGCTTTTAGCAAGTAACATGTACACCTAAGAGTTTGAAGGCTGTTAACAATAATCCAGGAATTAAGAACTTCGATACGATGAACATGGAGGAGGAGAGAGGAATTGAAGATATGCAAAGAAGTGAAATAAAATAACTTGATTATATCCAGCACCTTGGATGTGATGTAATTTAAAAAGAAATGTGAATCATAGAAGGTTGGTGTACTCTTCGTTTTCCTAACTGAGGAGATGAAGCCCAGAGAGGTGTGACTTGGCCCCTGTTTCAAAACTAATTGGTTAATGTTAGAACAAAGATTAAAAACCAGATATTCTCGCTTTCATGGCAGAGTAGCAAAAAGAGCTTCAAAAGAAAATTTTTGGTTTTTTTTTTTTGGTTGTTGTTGTTGTTGAGATGGAGTCTCACTCTGTCGCCCAGGCTGGAGTGCAGTGGCGCTATCTCAGCTCACTGCAAGCTCCGCCTCCCGGGTTCCCGCCATTCTCCTGCCTCAGCCTCCGAAGTAGCTGGGACTACAGGCGCCCGCCACCAGGCCTGGCTAATTTTTTGTATTTTTAGTAGAGACGGGGTTTCACCTTGTTAGCCAGGATGGTCTCGATTTCCTGACATCGTGATCCGCCTGCCTCAGCCTCCCAAAGTGCTGGAATTAACAGGCATGAGCCACCGTGCCCCGCCAAGCTTCAACATTTTTATAGTGGGGCCTAGAGAATTAAGGAGTCATTGACTTAAAAGGAGATTTCCATTAGAAAGTTTGATTGAGTGATGATAATAAATTTTACATAGATAAGTTTGCTGTCTAAGGATGTCATACTAGGTGTTTATATTTACAATAAATTCCTCAGAGGTAGGAAGTATGCCTTACTTGGTTTAGTAGTCTCTCTACTGCCTAAGCCAGAATAAATCCTTAAGAACTTTTAAAAATTATTTGTTGAATTGAAACTGTGAAGTAGACATTTTGAAATGAGAGTGTAGAGGGAGAAGAACAGAGCATGAGCTCTTTTCATCTGAATCTAATCGACCTGGTTTGGTGCAGCCTAACAATGGGAAGAGCTAGGAATGAGAAAAGTCCATTGAACTCTTAAGAGAGGTAACGTAATATATAGAAAAAAATGTACTTGATGAAAAGTCAGGAAATTTGGGTTCCAGTCCCAGTCCTACAGTCTTAGGTAAATTATTTCATTTTTCAGGATTTCTCTATTTATAGAATGTGAGCATTGGATTAAGTAATATTTAACAATCTTTCAGCCTCCAATGTCAAGAGTTAAAAAGACTGGTGACCTTCACAGGAGACAACTTAGTTGTTGAGTTTTCTATCCTTCACAAAAGAAGAAAAAGTGATTTCAATATTTTCAAATGGGCTTCTTTTAGAAAAGAGCAAGCCTCTTGAGAGCAAGCACAATGCCTTAGTCCACCCTGTGTCCTCCACGTTTCTCAGCATGACTGGCATTCAGCCGTCATTCTCAATGCTGGTCAGATCGTCTCCAGAGATGTTGCTAGCTTTCATCGTCAACGACTTCCCCTCCTTTAGTAGCTTTGTCCTCTTGTTGGAGAGTTCACTGACTCACGTTAGAAGTGACTTCAGTTATAAAACAGTTGTTTTCAAGAAACTTCCACACACATACACAAAAGTGGTCTAAAACAGTTCTTCTTCTTCTCACATTTTGGACTGTAATTACATGATGACAAATACCATTAAAATAAAAATGTCATTAAGAAAGAAGGGTCCCATATCCAAGTCAATAGTCTATTACTTTGAATATATTCACTACTATAAAATTTCAGAACAATTCAAGAATTGGATAGCCCTTTGCTGTGGAGATAATGAGATTTGACTGGTATTGAATCTGCTAGTTTTCTGAGGTCCTTAGAAGAGTTTTCCTTTTACTAAGATGATAAAATAATTATTTTTAATGAATTTTTTTGCTGTACTTGGATTACATTAAGCATATGTGCTATTAATTACACACTCTTGAACTGGGGCATACTATAACTCTGAAATTCTAGCTGTCTGGTTGACTGATTTCATTGTTATGAGCTGAAATGTCTCAAACACTTTGAATGCCTTCTAAACATAGTAGGCAAAATGTCTATTGACCTTGGTCCCCACTTGTAGTCATCCATTTGATGGACAATGGCAATATACCCATTTTATCTTTTTTGCATTCTTACACTAGGCTTAACTATATAAAATCAAACTCAGGGTCATGTAGGTGCTGCACAATAATAGCCATCAGTAACAGCTTCCTTACCATTGAGTGACACAGCATCCCCAAGTATCATCTGTGAGACGCTCTGTTTACATACACTCTGCCTTTTCTTTTTTTTTTTTTTTTCTTTTTTTTTACACATTCTAAGGTGTACCACTTGTCTGCTCTTGCAGAACTTTTGCCTATAAACTGTCTGTGGATTTTGTATATATTATGTCAGGACACTAAACTAAAGTCATTTGCTTTTTTGCAAATGTTGCTGGTCATTTGTTTAGTAAATATGAGAAATACATCTAAATTAACAATCAAAAATGATTATCCAAACTTAACCAAGATGAAATACATTGTTGTTCAATAACTATTATAGAAATTGAACTCATAATTTTATAAGTTTTACAAAATGAAATCTTTAGGCCTAAATGGTTTCACTGGAAAATCTACCAAATATTTAAAGAAGAATTAACACCAATTTTACATAATGTCTTTCAGGAAATAGAAGAGAGAACAATTCCCAGGTTATTCTATGAGTCTAGTATTGCTCTGATACCAAAACCAGGCAAAAATTGTACAAAAAACAAACAAACAAAAACTACAGACTGATATCTCTCATGAACATAGTTCAAAAATCCTCAACAAAATATTGGCAATTGAATCAAAAAAATGTATAAAATGAATACTGTATGTATCATGACCAAGTGAGATTAATTCTAGATTGCAAAGCTAGTTCAACATTTGAAAAGCAATCAGTGTAATCCACAGACTAAAGAATAAAAATTATATGAAGCTCAGAAATAGTATTTAACACCCATTCTTGATAGAAATCTCAACAAGTTAGAAATAAGGAGAATCACTCAATTTGTTAAAGAGTATCTACAAAATCCTACAACTAACAAATATGTAATGGTCAAAGACTGAATGTTTTCTTCCTAAGATCAGAAACAATGCAACAATGTCCACTCTCACAACTCTTCTTCAATATAGTATGGAAATACTAGCCACTGCAGTAAAAGAAAAACAAGAAATAAAAGACGTACATATTGTCTACTAAAATATCCCAAAGAATTTGCAGTCTCTTCTGAAAAAAAAAGAAGCAGAGGGAACACGTTCTAACTCATTCAGTGAGCCCAGCATTATG